TGCTGCATTTACTTATTCATGAGGTTCATTTTGCACTTGTCCATGAGGACAATGGGAAGTAGAATGTAAAACATTTGAACAAGTTATACAAGATTCATTTGATGTACAATGAGAATGGTTAGGAAAGGAAGATAATTGGTTAGCCGAATTTTGGTTGACCAAGAATTGATCAAACCTTTGAGATAAAGACTTCATCTTGGAGGCTATTTCCTTTGAATGGTCGACTTGATGCAAGCCAACACTCTTCCTACCTTGGGAATTTCTACCATTCTTTGATGATAATGTTCTATGGAAGGAGTTTTCACTCATGCTCTCATAAAGATGCCATACATCATCCTCATACCTATCAATGTAAGAACCACCCATGGAAGCATCAACCATGCCTTTATAATTGTCTGATAAGCTCTCAAAGAAATATTGAACCAATTGCCATTTGGGCATGTCATGATGTGGACACTTCCTTAGCAACTCATTGAAGCGTTCCCATGCCTCGTGAAATGTTTCCCTATCCCTATGTGAAAACTCTCTAAGGGACGTTCTCATGGCATTGGTCTTAGAAACCGGGTACTATTTCTTCAAAAACTCTTGTTGCATTTCTGCCTGAGAAGTGATTAAAAAAGGCCTAAGATTGTTAAACCAATATTTTGCCTTGTCCTTTAGGGTGAATGGAAAAAGTTTTAGCCTTAAGACCTCTTCCGGCATGTCCGTATATCTAACGGTGGAACAAACTTCAAGAAACTTATCTAAATGCTTGTAGGGTTCCTCATTAGGAAGTCCATGATAATTAGGAAGCATTTGAATGGTTTGTGGCTTGATTTCATAGTGGTGTGCTCTAAATGGTGGCAATTGAATGCATATGGGGGCATTGTATTCATTAGGCACATAGTGATCTCTTAAAGTAAGAGGAGGATTTGCAATTTGAGGCGCAACATGGGCACCTTGATTTTGATTTCTTTGAATGATGGGAGGTTGTGGAGCATACATGGGCCTTGGCATTCCAAATGGAACTTGGCCTCCTTGTTGTTGAGGTGGGTGAATGAATGGCCTAGGTATGCCTAATGGTACTTGCATGTTTTCATTATACACATTGGGATGGAGGATACCTTGTTGGTCTATGTGACCAAGGTCCTCTACATGCTCTTCATTATGGACGTCCATTGATGAAATGGATTGAGTGGAACTTCCTCTTCCCCTAGGGTTTCTAACTACGGATTCAAGATGTAAATCTAGAGGGACAAGAGTATGTCTCAACGATCGACGACCATGCATGCACAATGCAAAAACATAACAAGCAAAAATGGCAAACACTTCACCTTCACAACAAGTGAATTAAACTTCCTCCACAAACAAAATTCCATACTCCCATGCTTTAACAATAATGTAAAGAATAATAAATTGCCTCCATGTGGGCTCACGATTTATCTAGAAATTGAAAAATAAGCCTCCACGCGGGCCGATGATTTAACTAAGGGATTGAGTAAAGAAAAGCTCACAAAGGTCCTTTAGCACTTCAACTCCAAATTTAGCCTTAGTTAGTAATTTTTAGAAAAATTTTTAGCTTTTTCCCTTTGCTTGCTTTGCTTAGCTACTTTGCTTGGATGCTCCTTTGCTTGCCTTCTCTCCAACTCAATACACCTTGTCAATCAAGAACAAACACAATGAGTAATCAAAAGAAAAATAAAAACAAAGTAAAGACACGATCAAAAGAGTACTAATCCTAATTGATTCCATAAATACGACGTTGCCTAAGTTTGATCACCGGCAACGGCGCCAAAAACTTTGGTGAATGTGTTGCCCTACCACATAAGTTTAAGAAGAGTATGCAATTTAGGCGAGGGCCAAGTTTTACATTTATAGAAGCCATTACTACCTTTCACTAAAAATATTGCTAGGGCAAGTAGGGATCGTCTCAAGGGATTGATGGGTCGTATCGAATTTGCGGGATTTCAATTAGGGTTAGTAGGTCGAATGATCAAACAAGAGATGGTTGGTTGGTTGGATTAAACTAAAGAGCAATATAAACTAAATTAAAGACAATAGAATGCAATAGAGAGTAAGTAAAAAAGAGAGAAGTCTTGGGGTTTAGAGATCACCACTAAGCATAGCTTTTCTACACCCTTAACAAGTAATTAATGAGGGAAAATGGTGTGTTGCAATATTGGGGTGTGTGTGTGTGTGTGTGTTTGGTTGATTCAATTAGCAAGAATGACCAATTAAGTATATATTGTCTAAACAACATAGTGAAAAACACAATATATCAAAGCAAGCCATTAATCCTTTCATTAAGCTCACAATCCAAACTCATCATAAGGTTAGAGACATATGCTACTTGCATTCAAAAGCATGGAACATCAAACAACAAGCATGGATTGTCCTCCCATTTAACAACTACACTACAACTAAGCTACTAGCATGAAATTAAACTAATTAGACTAAGGGAGAGGCACAATCCATCAAGAAATAAGTATGAACCATCAAGCAAATTACAAGAGCATTCCATTAAGCACTTTTGTTTTGACAATCTCTAGATTAAAGGCATCAATACACATAGACATGCATCAACAACACAAAATCTAGAGACAAGCACATGAACATCAATTCTAGCATACATAGACATATAGATAGAATGAAATGATCAATTGGAAGCATTAACCCATATAAATCATTGAATAAACAAGATCTATATAAATAACAAATGTCAAAACATATATTACAACATAAGTCCCTCAATAATACACAAATCAAGATGTAGAAAGCATGCTTAGGGCTAACTCTAGCCCCAATAGGATGTCTAGCCACTCATGGTAGTGCTTCTCCAACCCTCAAGGGCAAGTTCCATGGAAGAAATCTGCTTCTTGGTTGATGAAGAACCTCCAATGGTGTCTCTAGCTTTCTCCTCCTTTTCTTCCTCACTGAGAATAGCCTCTCCAAAAGTGTATCTAAAAATCTCTAAGAAGCTCTCTCAAAAAGTGTATCATATTCCTTATATAGGTAGGTTCAATGACACACAAAATGAGCTAGGGTCGTACACCAAATATTCCCCAATGATTGGATAAGGACAACTTTCAATGAGCTGGGAATTTAACTTTTTCGCACTGGAGGAAGTTCGATTGATCGAACCTTGGACTTGGATCGATCAAACTGGCTGAGATCTATCGAACTTTTGGCTGGGTCGATCCACTGTGCGGCACCTTTTTGGATAAAGACAAATCTAAGATATTTCAGAGATATTTTTGGGAAAAGGACAAAAGTGGTTGGTAGGGTGGTACAACTGGATAAGATCAATCATTTGGATAAGGACAAGAAAGTTCGATCAATCAGAGAATAGAGTTGGATCGATCAAACATTGGGATCTTTGGATGTGAACATCATGGCTTGGATCTATCTTGGAAGTGCTGAGATCGATCATGTTGGATCGATCGAACCTTCATCTGAGATCGATCGAAGATGTTGAATTCCACCCTTTTTCTTCCTTTGCTCTACTTTGCTTTTTTCTTTGATTCATCTCAGAATTGCTTCCTTTTTGCTCTTATTTGGCTGAGTTAGCTTATTTTAGGGATAAGTGCCTGAAAATGAAAATATCTTGAAATCAATACAAAACGGTAAAGTAAGATAGATAAAGGTCCTAAAATACCTAAGCTTAAGGGGTTTAAATGCGCACTTTTCAGCGCTCATCATATATGTATGAATAAAATACATACATAGGAAGTAAGGATGAGTTGCTATTTTAAAAGTATAAATATATATATTTGTGGAGGCATGGTTGAATTGTCAATGTATAAATAAATATACTTGTGGAGGCATAGTTGAATTGCCAATGTATAAATAAATATACTTAAGGAGGCATGGTTGAATTGCCAATATATAAATAAATATATTTATAATGGCATGGTTGATTTGCCAATGCATAATTAAATTGCTATGTGTTAGATGATTAAAATTTCATCTATGATTATTGTATATGTAGGTTGGATTGGGAATAAATATTCTTAAATTAGAATAATCTAAGTTAATGTATCATTTTATATATATTAATAAAATAATGTTGGTGGAGACATGGACGATTGTCAAAGCCTAGAAATTGGATGTGTGATTTACATAATTAAATCATTATTGGGTTTTGAATTAAATATAATATTCTTTAATTATATTGTTTAAATGTTTAATTAACTATCTAGGAAGGGATTGAGGTTAAAGAACTTTTCTTTAAAAATATAGTGGATTGGTTTAGGAATGATTATTATTTAATCATTGGTAATGGTTTTGGAATTACTGAACCTAGTAATAGATGTGACCGTTGTATTTATATATAATTAGTTATATATATGTGTATCATTGTTTATTAAAGATAAAAAAAAAAAAAAAAAAAAAAAAAAAAAAAAAAAAAAAAAAAAAAAATTATTATTAGGTTTAGTTTTGGTCAGAGATGATTTCTTTATTGATTTTTAGAGGTTTGGTAGAGAGAACTTGCTTGTGGGTTTAACCCACGATTTATTTTTCAGGTTATTAGAAGGTCCAAGTCTCAAGGTTGAGGATCCGCAGTTGGAAGACTTATCTATTCTTTCTATTTTATTTCAAAGTAGGATATTATTACTTCAATATTTATTGATGAATTTCTGGATAGTGGATTTTGGTTAAGGGGTCCTTGAGTTACAGGATTCCCGAGTTGTGAACATTGGAGAGTTATTAATGGAAATTATTATTTATTAGTTTTCTTCAGCGTATTATTTATTATTTATTTCATTTTGTAATCTATGTTTTTTTGAAATACTTCAATTGTTTTGATATCCCTTAATTTTGTACGCAGATTTGATCAACCCGTATTCCGAAATTAGGGGGTATCACATAAAATGACAATTGTACAACTTTTATTGGATAGCAACATTCAAGATCAGAATGTGTTAGTCATTGCATTAGTTAGAATTGGGGGACTAGGAAAGACCACACTTGCATAATTAGTATACAACGACAAGAGTGTCACTAAACATTTTGATCTTAAGATGTGGGTGTGTGTGTCTGACATCTTTGATGTGAAGCTCATTAATTGCAGAAAAGTCATAGGGTCTGCAAAAGGCAAAATGCCTGAAAATCTTTTCATGGATAAATTGCAAGAAATGCTTAGTAAAGAAATCAATGGAAAGAAATATTTACTTGTATTGGATGATGTGTCGAATGAGAATCGTAACAAATGGTTAAAATTGATAGATTTGTTGATGGGTGGTTCGAGAGGAAGTAAGATCTTAGTAACTAGTCGTACTGAGTTAGTTGCAAATGTTACAGGGACAAATTCACCATATTTTGTAAAAGGCTTAACTAAGGAGGAGGCCTGGTTGTTATTTGAGAAAATGGCATTCAAACAAAGGAAAGAGTCAGAGAATACATTTAAAGTAACAATTGGTAAGGAAATTGTTCAGAAGTGTAAAGGAGTCCCTCTTGCATAAGGGCTATAGGAAGCCTATTATACACTAAAGATACAATTGTTGCATTTTAAAAAGAATAATTTGTCAAAAATAGCTGAAGAAGAGGATGTGATTTTGCCAATACTAAAGTCCAGTTATGATTACCTTCCTTTGGAGCTGAAGAGATGCTTTGCATTCTGTTCCTTATATTTGAAGGATCAAAAAATTGATAATCAAGATTTAATCCAATTGTGGATTGCAGAGGGATTTATTCAGCCAACGAATGAGAATCAATTATTGGAGAATGTTGGTAATTCGTATTTTATGAATTTACTGAAAAGGTCCCTTTTTCAAGATATTGAAATAGATAAATGGGGTGATATAATAAGTAGCAAAATGCATGATTTTGTCCACGACCTTGCACTCTTGGGACCAGATTTTCCTTGGCGAATTTGAATGTAAAAAATGTTAGTGAAAGAACTCGACATGTGTCACTTGATTTCGGTATAAATTCATCACAAAAAATTTCAACCCTGGTTAGAGCTAAAAAGTTATGGACAATTATTATGAATGGTGAAGAGATTGATTTTTTTGATAAATTAGTTTTCAAAGGGATTGTTGTTTCAACTTTTAAAAGGTTTCGTGTATTAGATTTGTATCACACATGGTTTAAAATTGTGCTGAGTTACATAAGCAAGGTGAAACATTTAAGGTATCTTGATCTAAGTGAAAATTATTCTATCAAGACTTTGCCAAGTTCAATAACCATGTTGCAAAATTTGCAGACCTTAAAACTCAATGGATGCCGGAGTCTTAAAGATGTGATTCCTTGACTAGCATGCCGTATGGATTGGGTAAGTTGACATCTCTTTTAATAGTAACATTGTTTGCAACGGATTCATATAGTCGACTGAGTGAATTGCACGGTCTAAATAATCTACGGGGAAGGTTACGAATCACATTTGGAATTAGGGATTCAGGTGGCCACAGGTGTTTACAAAAAGCAACAGCATAAGATATAATCGAGGGGACCATAGGTGCTAAGTCACTGCTATTAGATTTCTAGAGAGATACAGATGATTGGGAAAAGTTATTGTTGGAAGCCTTACGTTCACACCCAAATTTAAAGGAGCTACAAATAAAGTATTATCGGGGAGTGAGTTTCCCAAGTTGGATGATGGTTGGCGAAATTGGATTATCCCTTCCAAATCTAGTCCGAATTGATATGTCCCACTGTAAACGATGTAAACATCTTTCACCATTTGGGCAGCTTCATTCTCTCCAATTTCTTAGGGTTGAATATGAATAATTTGAATAATTTGGTAAGGGAAGCGATATTTTCATTAATCAATCGTACAAAATATATACACCTATTGTGCACACTAATTACCATTTTGTGCACATTAATTACATAAAAATTTTGCATAATGAGAAAGAGTAATAGCTGTGATTTAATGTGTAATAGTTGTGATTGACCTTTGATGATCGTCCTTGATACTGCCATAATTTGAGGAGTTTGTTTCCTTAACAAACTCTGTATATTCATCGCCATAATTGTAGGGATATTTTTCCTAACACACCCCCTCAAGCTGGAGAGGGAATGAATGTGGACTCCCAGTTTATCGCGAAAGAAAGTGAACGCTTGTTTGGGCAACGGTTTTGTAAAAATATCCGATGGTTGAGAGGATGAAGGGATGTATCGTGTAATAAGAATACCCATAGCAACCTTTTCACGAACAAAATGATAGTCAAGCTCGATATGTTTAGATCGAGCATGAAACATTAGATTGACGGATATATGAAGTACACTAATATTGTCACAAAATAACTGAGGAGGTTGACAAAGTGTTATACCAATGTCTCTGAGCAAAAATGTTAACTAAGTGATTTAGGCGATAGTGGAGGCCATAGACCAATATTCTGCCTCTGAACTAGATCGAGCGACTGTCGGTTGCTTCTTTGAACACCATGAAACACGATTTGCACCAAAGAAGACACAAAAACCCGTAGTACTTCTCCTTGTAATTGGACATCCAACCCAGTCGGCATTCCTAAAACCATACAAAGATAAAAAAAACTTTGAGAAAGATAACGTAGCCCAAAATGTTGAGTTCCTTTAAGATACCATAGGATTCACTTAACTGCTTTCATGTGAACTAAAGTTGGATTGTTAAAATACTGACATACCCGATTGACTGCATGAATGATGTCGGGTCTTGTGAAGGTTAAGTATTGCAAAGCACCAACGATGCCACGATAAGCAGTGGTATCAATTTGATTGACATCAGAACATGCTAACTTTTCTTTAATAATCATCGGTGTAGCTATAAGAGAGCTGTCAAGCATTTTTGTTTGAGTAAGAAAATCCTGTATATATTTCTTCTGAGATAGAAAAATACCACCAGAGAAAGACCGAATTTTGTGATACCCCCGGATCTCCAGATGCGGGTTGGCCAGGCCCACGCCCGATTACCCAAGGATATCAAATCAATTAGCAATAATCGAACATAGAATACAAATATAATTAACAAGAATAAATAGAAATGCTGAAAAGAACTGAAATGATAAACTAATAACTTTCATTGATAATCAAAATCTTTTGATACAAATCGTTCTCCATATTATACAACTCGGGAATCCATCTAGTAGACCCCTAAAATATCCCAACTGAAACCAAATAACTGGAAACAAAACCCAAGCCTAAAACATGAAATAAAATCCTACGTCGTCGGTGGAGTGAATAACTGTATCTGCTCAGCACGATCAAGCTTTAAGCCTGGAACCGACGAACACCTGTAAAAATAAGAGTGGGTTAGGCCCACATGCAAATTCTATTTTAACTGCAATCCATACAGTGACCCGATATACAAATACACCCTAGATATCTCAATAATAGCTATCTAGTCCATACATATATAAATATCCACACTAAGGGACATTCACTGGACTATATAGGGGGTCTTAACCTGAATAGAAGGCAATATGTGACACCCCTCAGATTCGAGACGCGGGTTGATCAGGCCCAGGCCCAAACTTGAGGGATATCAGACAATTAATATGTTATAAAGAACACGGAATACAAATTGAATAAGAAAAATATAATAAGCTGAAAGAAACTAGGAATAAAATCCTTATATAAAATTGTTATACTCTGATAATCCAAAACTCCATAAGTTTACAACTCGGGAATCCATCTCTAGTGGACCCCTAATAAAAATCAGAAACTGAACGAAAGTAAAAAACTGAAGATAAAATCCGAATCTAATATCTAGAAAGAAGTCCTACGCAGTCGGTAGAATGGAAGATCGTCTCTACTCAGCTTGAACAAGCCCTAAGACTGGAAACATCCGATACTTGAAAAATGATAAGTGGGTCAAGGCCACTAGTAAGTTCTATACTACTACAATCCAAGCAAAGACCCGATACGCATGTACATCCTAAATAATCCAACAATAACTAAATAGTCCATAGGTATATATATATATATATATATAATCACACTACGGGACTCTCACTAGACTATAGACGCGTCTCAACCTGACTAGTAGGCACCATGCAAAACGCACTTGGGGTGGGCATGACTACCTAGACCTAGCAGGGTACATATCCAAACGCTCCCTAACCACGACTCTGAGACTCAGGCTCATATCGTGGCACTATAAAAATATATTTAAATTCCATTCCAAACCAAGGTGTCACTCAACTATTTAGTGATCTGACATAAAATACAGGTAGGATTTAACTTTTGTAGTTAATCCATCCCTTAATCCAGAGTAGGTAGGACTTAGCATTTTTGAGCTAATCCCTAGTATGTCACCGTCCCATACCGGTGCATACAAACCATCCATCCAGTGTTGATAATAAAAATGCTGAGATAAAAATCAATATCAATAAATCCATAACAAGTATAACCCCATCCATCCAATTATTGATAATGCAGATGACATTATAAATAGCAATATCAACGCATCCATAACAAGTACAGCAAGAATATGTAAATAGCATGCTTGTCATACACGAACAGTACATAATTCTCTTAACAGTTTAGGAATGCAGAGAATAAGTGTAATCCATCCTTTAATCCCCTATTTGTAGACTAATATCAATATTAGAATTAACAGGCTCACTTAAACCATTCCACATCATCCAATAAGTTGGTAATACAAATAGACTTGTAAACATCGACGAATCTCCTGTCAAGCATAACAGACATTATATAAATTGAGATGTTTAATCCCATACCATTGTCACATGATTTTAACATAAACTTCCTAATTTAATTGCTAAATTTAGTACAATCAACTTGAATTATTTGCATTAAAGTAAAACTGAACACTTTCCTAAAAGTTCCCGATTGTTCCCTATTTTAGTTTCTTATGGTAGATTATGAATTACCAGGCTTTCTGAAAATTTAGCAAGGGTTTATACATTACTGAATACCCCTAGAAAAACTCTTGATTCAATCTGGAACATTAAAATTTCAACCACAGTAGCCTAGGTTCGCAGAAAAACCCAAAAACTAGAAACCGTCGAAGGAGCTGGCTCCACACAAGGTGAAGCCGACTCCACAACAAGGTAGAGCCGGCTCCACCCATGGTGGAGCCATCTCTAGACTCTAAATAGCTGGCTCTACCTAAGGTAGAGCATGCTCCTTTTTTTGGTGAGCCTGCTCTTTTTAAAATAAAGCAAGCTCCTCCCCCTATGCGTCGTCTTCTCTAATTTCGGCAGTGTCCGGCAACTGTGTTCCTCCAACCAAGTTTATTACTGATTAAAACTAAGTCCTAGGGTGTTCCAAAGTTAATTAAATTCAATACTTATTAATCAAAATCAATTGGAATAAGAATTTTGCAAAACATATTTAAAACAAGCACAATACTTAAGCGGAAACACATACTGTTTTGAACAAATTTCATGCAACCAAGTAAATTAATTTAGCTTTTACTCATCCTAGGATTGTGTTAGAGATATAAAGAACATAGGCCAAAGAGATAGAGTTAGATATAAAACTTGCCTGTGAGACTCGGTTCAGAAATCTCAGCGTC